ATTTTGGGATAATTTCAGTTAATTTTGGTTAATTTTTCTCTCCCAGGTGGTAAATACGTGCCCCAGGCCGTCCTGGTGGGATTTTGGGATTATTTCGGGGTCATTTTAGGATTTTTTTGGGGTGATTTTGGGAATTGTTTTTAGGATCATTTTAGGATTGTTTTGGGATCATTTTGGGGTGATTTTGGCTGATTTTGGTTAATTTTTTTCTCCTCAGGTGGGATTTTGGTGATTTTGGGGTTGTTTTTAGCCGGTTTTGGGGTTATTTTGGCTGTTTTTGTTCCCAGGTGATTTTGAGGTGATTTTGGCCATTTTTGGGGTCATTTTGGTTGATTTTGGGTTAATTTTCCCCATTTTTTCTCTCTCAGGTGGTAAATACGTGCCCCGAGCCATCCTGGTGGGATTTTGGGGTTATTTTGGATTATTTTAGGATTATTTTGGGGTGATTTTGTGATTATTTTAGGATAATTTTGGGGTGATTTTGGCCATTTTTGGTTACAGGTGGTAAATATGTTTTGTGGTCCATCCTGGTGGGATTTTGGGGTGATTTTTGCTGATTTTGATTAATTTTTCTCTCTCAGGTGGTAAATACGTGCCCCGAGCCATCCTGGTGGGATTTGAGTTTATTTTAGGATAATTTTGGGGTGATTTTGGTTCCCAGGTGATATTTGGGATCATTTTAGGATAACTTTGGGGTGATTTTGCCTGGTTTTGGTTCCCAGGTGATTTTGGCCTTTTCTGGGATTATTTTGGGATCATTCTGGGATGGTTTTGGGGTGATTTTGGCTGATTTTGGGCTGTTTTTTCTCTCAAGTGGTGAGTACATCCTGTGCGCCATCCTGGTGGAATTTTGGGATAATTTTGGGTGATTTTGGTTTAATTTTCCCCATTTTTTCTCTCTCAGGTGGTAAATACGTGCCCCGAGCCATCCTGGTGGGATTTTGGGGTTATTTTAGGATAATTTTTGCTGATTTTGGTTAATTTATTTTATCTCAGGTGGTAAATACATCCCCCAGGCCCTCCTGGTGGGATTTTGGGATTATTTTGGGGCCATTTTGTCTGATTTTGGTTTCCAGGTGATTTTGGGATTATTTTTGGATAATTTTGGGATAATTTTGGGTGAGTTTGGGGTCATTTTCCCCATTTTTTCCCTTCAGGTAGTAAATCTGTCCCTCAGGGCATCCTGATGTGATTTGAGATTATTTTAGGATAATTTTAGGATTRTTTTGGGGTCATTTTGGCCRGTTTTGGGGTAATTTTTTCCATTTTTGGTTACAGGTGGTAAGTATGTTCCGTGGTCTATCCTGGTGGGATTTTGATTATTTTAGGATTATTTTGTGATCATTTTTGGGGTAATTTTATCTGATTTTGGTTAATTTTTTTTATCTCAGGTGGTAAATACGTCCCCCGTGCCATCCTGGTGGGATTTGTGGTGATTTTGGGGTAATTTTATCTGATTTTGGTTAATTTTTTTTATTTCAGGTGGTAAATACGTGCCCCGGGCCATCCTGGTGGATCTGGAGCCCGGCACCATGGACTCGGTGCGCTCCGGACCCTTCGGACAAATCTTCCGACCCGACAACTTCGTGTTCGGTGAGGGAACAACGGGGAAATTGGGGAAAAATGGGGGAAAATGGGAAAAAATGGGAAAAATGGGAAAAAAATGGGAAAAAAGCAGGGAAAAAATGGAGGAAAATAGGAGTAAAATGAAAAAAAAAATTGGGAAAAAGGGAGGAAAATTAGGGAAAAAATGGGAAAAATTGGGGAAAAGTGGGGAAAAATGGAAAGATTGGGGAAAATGGGGGAAAAATAGAAAAAATGGGGAAAAAGTTGGGGGAAAATGGAAAAGATTACTGAAAAATTGGAGGAAAATAGAGGGAAAATGGAGGAAAATTGGGGTAAAATGGAAAAAATAGGGAAAATGGAAAAAATTGGGGAAAAAATAGGGAAAAAATAGGAAAAATGGAAGAAATTGGGAAAAAAAGTGGGAAAATGGAAAAAATTGCGGAAAAATTGGAGGAAAATTGGGGGAAAATGGAAGAAAAATGGGAAGAAATTGAGAAAAAAATTGGGAAGAAAATGGAGGAAAATTGGGATTGGGGATGGGGGACAGTGGGGGGAAAGTTGAAAAAAGAAAAAACGGGGAAAACGGAAAGTTGAAGAAAAAATTGAGAAAAAATGGAGAAAATTCGAGAAAAATGGAGAAAAATGGGAAAAAATGGGGACAGTGGAGAGATCCCAGAGATGGTTTGAAGGTCTCAGAGATGGTTTGAAGACCTCAAAAGTGGTTTTGAGGTTCTCAGAGATGGTTTTGAGGTCCTCGAAAACTGTTTGGAGATCTCAGAGATGATTTTGATATTCTCAAAGGTGGTTTGGAGGTTCCCAAGGTTCTCAAAGGTGATTTTGAGGTTCTCGTAAGTGGTTTTGAGGTTCTGAATGTTCTCAAAGATGGTTTTGATGCTCTCAAGGGTGATTTTGAGGTCCTTCAAGACTCTTTGGAGATCTTTAGGATGGTTTGGAGGTTCTCAAAGATGATTTGGAGGTTCTGAAGGCTGTCAAAGGTGATTTTGAGGTTTCTAAGGATGATTTTGAAGTTCTCAGAGATGGTTTAGAGATACCAAGGATGTTTTGAAGGTTTTTGGGGTTCTCAAAAGTCATTTTGAGCTCCTCCAAGATGGTTTTGAGGTTCTTAGAGATCATTTTGAGGTTCTCAAAGGTGGTTTTGAGATTCTCAAAGATGATTTTGAGGTTCTGAAGGTTCTCAGAGGTCATTTTGAGGTTTTCCATGATGGTTCTGAGGTTCTTAAAGGTGATTTTGGGGTTCTCAAGGTTCTCTAAGATGATTTTGAAGTTCTCAAAGACAGTTTGGAGATCTCAAAGACACTTTTTAGGTTTTCAAAGATAATTTTGAGGTTTCTGAGGTTCTCAAAGGTTATTTTGGGGTTCTCAAAGCTAGTTTTGAAGGCTCTCAAAGGTGATTTTGAGGTTTCTGAGGTTCTCAAAGGTGATTTTAAAGTTCCCAAAGGTGATGTTGAGGTTCTCAACCCAATTTTTTTCTCTTTCCGCAGGCCAAAGTGGCGCGGGCAACAACTGGGCCAAGGGTCACTACACAGAGGGCGCCGAGCTGGTGGACTCAGTCCTGGACGTCGTCCGCAA